GCGGCGGCCGCGGGTCGGGCGGGCCGGCAGGCGGCAGGGACCGGCCGCGGGCCAGGCGGGGGCGCCACGACCCGATGGGGGCCCGTTCCCGATGGGCCCCTGGTTTAACGTTTGGATGGGGCTGGGCGCCGAAGCGCGGTTGGACGACACCGACGGCACTTTTTGACTTAGCGTGTGGACGAAAATCTTGGCGCGCAGTTTTTTATTTTTCGAACGAACGACAGCGCGCGGTTTTTCTAGCTAGCCGCACGAATTCCGCGGCCTTCAGTCTGTAACTTTTTGCTTTAACTATACTGGCCAGGGGCCGGACTGCTTTCCCTAGTATTTATCGAGACCATTTCTGCTTCCGTGTAGGCGTGTCGTGCTGCTGTAAACTCCGTAAAAATCATACAAAGAATGTTGATGCTGTGCATCCGATAAGATTCCACCTCCGCCCCAACTCCTCGCCGAAGATGAAGTAGAAGGGCGCCAAGGTTTTGCTCTTCTTCGTGGTAAAAGGGTTTCTTTCTGCTCGTCGTCCCCAACATGCTGTGTCAACGCGTAAACCGAGGCTTGCGTATTTGATGTCGTGTGGTTTTCTTGATTTATTTGCAAGTCGTTTGAAGATGCTGGCCGTGGTGGCCCTCGCCCTTTATCGACGCTATTGCGGTTAGTAGCCATTTTTCTGGTTTTTTGTGTCTGTTGTTCCAGGCGAGGAGCAAGGTCATCAAGGATGTCGAGACCGCTCCTGGGAAGGAGATGAGAAAAGTCACGGTAATTTGTAGGACTGGTCGTGCTACAGGTACTTGTCGTTGTTGTCGAGGTTGTTGTCGAGGTCGTCGTCGTCGTCCCGGGTGCTCTCGAGATTTTTCGCGGCGGTGCCTTCCTTTCACTGGCCCTGGAGAAATCCAATTTCCTCCTCCGTTTCCGTTCCAATCCGTACACGCTTTGATCTTTATCTCGTGTGGCAGTTCTTACAACTTTGTGTTTGTGAGCTGATCCAGCACCACGAAAGTTTCTTGTGTTGAAGAAATTTGTGTTCGAAGATGAAAATTGTGTAGTTGCCAGAGATGAAGATAAGCGCTCGAAGTATGAAGACTTTTCGTCCCTTCTTGGTGAAGAAGACGTTTTATAGCCCGCCCCGGCGTCATGATCAACTCTGTTCAAGTTCAAACTGTTGCGAAAAGGAAGTCCTCGTTCTTGCATCGTGTCGTCTGTGTAGTCGTAGCCGTCGGCGTACCACCGGTTCATCCTGTAGCCACCGTAATAGCTCTTGAAGTCGCCGTCAAAGACAAAGTCCTCGAAGGAGTCCTCATCTCTACTATGCCCTGCCGTTCCACCAGTTGCCAGCCCCGCGAATGGTGAAAATAAACCACGATTGAAGAAATAGTCGTCAGGACCACGACCTGCATCTTCTTCATGGTTCCAATAGTTCCAGCGATGACCATTTCCAGAAGTCCTTCCCGCGCCACTGCGACGCCCGCCCCCAGCACCACGACGGTCCAGAAGATACCGGCTGGGACACTTCTCTTCCAACGTCTGCAAATTCCATCTAGCGATCCGGGGCGAGAAAAA